GAATCGTCAAGCGAAGCTGCTGCACTGGTTCTCTCCACTGTTTCTGGGAGGAAATCGCCAAGAGAGCCCAGCCCCACATCACTGGAAAATTCCCTTTAGGATCAGAACTGCTGGAGGAGAAAGCTGTGCAGTGTATCTGTCGGGCAGAGCGAAGGAAGGCACGATCCCCTAAGGAGGAAATGAAGCCCCTGGAGAGCGAGCAGCACGTGCCTCACAATAACGCTGTGTCCTTCTGTCTGGGACAAGGTTTGCATGTGTTCACCATCTGCAATAAACAACGCCCACAATCCACCTTCCCCTTCTCTACCTTCGTAAGAATGCTCTAAGATGGACCTCCCAGACGCACACCAGTCAATGTGTGAACAAGAAAGGCTCTGATTTGCAGACATTTGCACGGGCTGGGTATGGCATCCCACTGCATGAAGAAAAATATCCAGACTCTCTGCCATGGTCTGGTCCCTGAATTTCTCCCTGCCTGCACTGCACACACTCTCAGCTTATTCAGGATGCTCCACATTCTCAGATCCTTCATTTCCACCTCAGGACCTTTGCACAGACTGTTCCTCTGCTCAGAGTGCCCTTAGCCAAGCACTCACAGCTGCCTTGATCTCACCATTAGTCTCCTCAGAGACCTTCTCCCCTTATCCCTCCACCACTCTCTCCTGCTGTGTTTCCTCTAGAGAACTGTCACTTTTTCAGTTTCTGTGTGTACTGCTGGGCTTTCTAGTGAGACACGAGGACCCTGGATGCAGGAACTTTCCTGTCTTACTCTCACCTGCATCCACTTGCCTAGAACAGTGTTGGGCATGAGCAGGCATGCAAATATTTAAGTGGATGAATAAGTGAACGAATAAATGAATTTTATGGTGAATGATGAGAAGTTGATAGTTTTTTAATAAACATATTCTGGTGACCTATCAAACTTTTTAGCATAGAACAGAAGCCATTTTCTGAAAATATGATGGTAGAGTATATCCTGGTAACAAAAGGAATGAATTGCTAACTGCTGCTTCCTCTCAATAGTTGGTATTCCCTTTTTCCTTAGAACTAGAACCCTGAATTTCAGTTTGAACAAAAGTCTGTCAGTTAAATTGTAGTTCTTCTAAGAAGCCTACTCCTTCTCCCTCCTTCCTTCCTGTTTTCTGGATGTGGCTACAATGACTGGTGCTTCAACAGCCCTTTTGGAACATGAGGTGATGGACTAAAGATGGCAGAAGGGCAGGAGGAGAGGAGCTGGGGCCCTATTGAGCCACTAAACTGGTCCTAGGTTATTGATGTGGGTAAGAAACTCCTATCTTGTTTAAGCCACTAAAATTTGAGGTTTAAAAAAAATTATACGTAACTGAATTTAATTGTAATGGAAACATGGGGATTTGTAAGAAAGGTCTGAATTTGACATATAACTCACCTCTTGAAGACATGGTGAGGAGGAAGGTAAAAATATGGGGCTGTTAAGAAAACCAGAATTTTCTTAAAAGTGTTTATTCCCCTCACCAATGCAGGACAGGAAAACAAGAATAAAAGACAAAGAGGATTTGTATTATCTCCCTTCTCTGTTACACTCTAGGTTGGTACCTGGGATCACAGAGTGAGAATTGGATAAAACTGGGCCCAAAGAGCAGCCTCATCTACTTCAGTGGCCTTCGCCTTGAAGCCACGTCATGAAATGTTCATTGGTCCAAGGCAAACTGAGTGATGTGGATCATGTTAGTGAGTTTTTCATAAAACCAAATTTCTTTAATTTAAAAAACCATCCTTTATTCTTAAATTATGTGTGTCTTACTTTTTGGGCTGAAAACAGCTTTGCTCTTACAACTGATTACAATAGTACACATGGATCTTTTAAAAGTCTTGTTTTAGCAAAATCTAAAGATTGGCACACCTATGTTAGATCTCCAAATCAACCAATTTAATTGCCAATCAAAAGCAATGTGAAATCCAGATATTTGGATAATAACAGTAGGAGACTGAGGTTTGGATAATAATAAGAATAGCAAAGTGCATTTATTCTTTAAAGATATTTTCATTTGATCCTTCTGCTCTGAAGTATAACCTGTGAGGCATACGAATCATTATGCTCATTTCTGGATGAAGAAACTGAAGGTTAAAGCATTTTTAAATAAAGTTTTTCTCCTCCTTGTTAGTACTGTGTTCCAAACAGTGTGTGTGTGTGACGATTCTGTGTGTCCACTGAGCTGAGACATTAACTCCCAGAGGCGACCGCCTAACCACTCTGGTTTCTTTAGGGATGACAATAGGAGTCTTCTCACTCCACTGTCACCAAAATTTTTGCTCTCTCATAGATTTCCCATGGTTTTTGGGTCCCCCAAGATTCCCATCCTAGGACTTCGATCTGGATCTGCTTCTTATTCCTACAGTTTGGGTCTTATGGAGGCTTCTATGTGTGTTCATATTCATCCTTAGGAATTAAAAAATAATAGAGTCATTTAACAAAATTTAGTGAGTGCCTACTTTGTGCCAAGCACAGGAAATGCAGCAGTGAGCCAAACAAACAAAAATGCGTCCTCATGGAAACTTGATTCCAGTAAGAGGTTCAGACAACAAACATAAAGAATTAAACTATCAAATATAATAACATGGTGAAAGGTGCTACGGAGAAAACAAAGCAAGGAAGAAGGGTGTGGAGTGCACGGGGGCTGCCATCTGAAACAAGATGGGAAGCTCGCTAGGAGGGTAACAGTTGAGCAAAGACTAAAGGAGCAAGCCATGTGGATGTCTGGGGGAGAACATTCAGCCTGGAGGGAATGGCCAGTGCAAAGGCCCTGAGTCCTATGCTTGGCAGGGCAGCCAGTGTAGCTGCAGTTGAGTGAGTCAAGGAGGGAGTCATAAGAAATGAGGTTGGGAAGGAAAGCCACAGAAGACGGGGAAGGGACAACAGATTGTGTGAGGCCTTGTAAACCACTGCAAAGGACTTTGCTTTACTCCATGGAAGATATGAAGATGCTACAGGCATCTGAGCACCATGATATGACTTAGGTTTTAAAAGGGTCACTCTGGCTACTGTATTGAGAAAGATTATAGACACAAAGGTGGAAGCAGGAAGACTAGTGAGGAGGTAAATGGAGTAACGCAGGAAAGAGATGGTGGTGGCTGGGACCTGGCGGGTAGTGGGTGAAGGTGGCAGGAAGCAGCTGAATTCTGGATATATTCTAAAGAGAGAGGACTGACAGGATTTGCTGATGGAACCACAGGCAGGCAGGAAAGAGAAGATTCGTAGGAGTGGGTTTTGAAGGGAGAGAGTTGGGAGTTCAGTTTTCCATCTGTTGAATTTGAAGGGATAATCAGACATCCAATTGAGGTCATCATGGGGACAGCTGGCCATACAAGTCTGGAGTTCAGGGAAGAGATCCAGGCTGCAGGGAAATGTGCTAATCTCTGGCCTGGAGAGAGATTTAAAGCCATGAAATTAGTCAAGATCATCAAGGGAGTGTGTGTAGGGAGAGAAAGGCTCTGAGGACTGACTTATGGGGCCCTCCACTGTTGGACGGTCAGGGAGATGAGGAGCAAAGAGGCTGACAAAAAACACACAGGAAAGAGTAGGAGAAAAACCAAGAGACAGTGGTATCCAGGAGGCCAAGTGGAGGAAGAGTTTTCAACAAGAGGAACTGAATCGTTCCCTCAAAAGCTGCTGCCTTCCTCCTCTCTGCCCTGTGTTTTCTCCTTGGTCCTCATCATTCTCTAACAGAGGTACGTTATGAATGCGTTGGAAGAGCGGGGATAAGGCAGCATGGAGAGCCTCAGGGAGTCTGATGACGGAGCTAAATCCCAGTCATCTATACATAGAAGCCAACCGGTAGTTTCCAATAGTGAGAGGAAATGTGCAGAATTAACAAGTTACTCAGAAATGCATAGGTAAGTACTAGAAGAAATGGCTAAAAGAAAGTTGGGAACAGGACTCATGGACGGGGAGAAGTAGGGTAGAAGACTACTGTTTTTCTTTATAAGTAACACCTTTTAAAATTATATCTCTATATTACTTTGACAAAAAATTAAAAACAACTAGTCAGGAAAAAAAATGCATTAGCTAGATGTCTAGTTCCCAGCCCAAGGGCCACGAAATTACAGCCAGAGGCCAGCAGCTCCAGATGCTCCTGAAGTAGGATTTCCATCCTGAGTAAGATCATGTACATTCTCCGTCCTGTATCTTTTCAATGTAGACACTGCTTTCATCACTACAAGTTAGAAGCACTCCTGAAACTGTAATAACGTTTAATCACTGAAGATTTTATCACTCAATTGATACCGAAAGTATAACCACTATTCTATGATCATCCATATGATTTTTTAACTTTAAAAATAGTTCCTCACTCTAAGTTTAGGAACCATCGTGACAGTTGAATTAAAATTCTCCTGGGTTATTAAATGGATGAGAATGCTATTGTAATAAACTCCTGGAAGGTAGAGATGATCCTTCCCATACGGATGTAACTTTGGTTGCATGTCTCTCTTTCCAGCTGAGTTCCTTGAAAAAAGATCCCACATTCTAGTTATCTTTGGATCTCTAGACCTAGCACAGTTGTTGACATAGGTGACAATAAAGAACATTTAAAATTTCCTAAGTGCTTTCCCATGCTCAGCACTGCTTTAAGCACTTTACATATATTTTCACTTAATTACTATTCTGGAATCCACAGTCTTATGGTTTCTGAAGTTGGTACTAATATTATTATTATTCATATTATTATTAAGAGGAAACTGAGGCACAGAGGTTCAGTAATTCTCAAGGACACACATAGAATGAATGGAAAAGTAGGATTAGGAGCCAGGCACTCTCTCTCCAGAGCCTTAGATCTTAATGGGTATGTATAATATTAATAAGTGTTGGTTGATAAAGTCCTTGAAATAATAAATCCAGTGGCAACTTATTTTACCTAGTGATACAAAATAAAACCATCATGTTATAAAATAAAACCATTCATGGATGGTATGATGGCTTTTTCATATGTATATTTAAAAGGCTATCTATTTGACAATCTCACCTTTTTCTTTTTGTTCTGGATCATCTGTTTTTCTATTTGTTTCTGAAAAGTAAAGACAAAACAGAATAAGTACTGTGAAAGTCACCATTCAATATCTCAAAATATAGGACCATATTTAGATGAATTCAAATAAATATAATTTAAGAAAAACCTTTCTGGGAAAACAATTCAATTTTCCCAAGTCCTGAATTCTTTACACATGACATTTGTTGTAAAATATTAAGATTTAGACTCATTTGAGTTACTTATTAAAGTCACCGAGCAGTAACTAGCTATCAGGCACCAGATTAAGTGTTACTCATCTATGAGAGAGTTGCCGTGGGTCATCTCCTCAGCTCTAAGCGACTCTGTGGGCACAAAGGCAAACTAGGGAAGGAGAAGCCCTCATCAAAGCTTGTTCAATATTTTTACTGTCCTCTAAAAACATAAGACTATAATAGGCACTGTGTGCTTCAAAGGAATGGATGTCACACTACTGAGAACTGGTGTCACTCCTCTAAGGACTTCACACATACACAGGTGACCTATGGTGGGGAGGGGAAGTCCTGTACTGAGCCCAGGTGTGCTATAGCTCACTTACTAAGGAGCTAAGATGGGCTCGAGCTCACCCGTGTCAGCCTCTAAGTTAATCACAGTTAGTGTCTCTCCCACCTGGGGCCGTGGAATGCAGCGAAACCCATCAAGAACCTGGACCAGCCGAAGAATATCCACCTCACATGCAAACAACAGCCTATGACCTGACCATGTGTTTATAACCTCACTTCTGCATTTATAACCTCATAGTTGGCCTATTGTTTAATACAGATTAGAATCTAGTTAATTTTCAAGGTAGACCAGTCAATTACGGTCCCCGTAGGTACTTATCTAGTCTTTGGGTATTTCGAGGAACATGTGCGTACGCATATGTGTTGGAGTGGGGATGCAGCAGAGTTTGGGAGATTGATAAAAACCAGACTCTGTCCTTTGCCCCGCAGATGTGAGAGGGTGTGGGTGCAGTCCAGGGTGGGATCAGGGATGCAATCATGGATCACTTGATTTTTTTGGTCCCTGGTTTCCCACATTCATTCATTAAAAACATTTCACTTTTTGCAGGTGAGAAGCAAATCAGCGACAGGCTTCTGATGCAAGGAAGGAATTTTTATAGGTCAAGCACTTTTTCATTTGAGACCGCAGGTGAGAGGAAGGGAATTAACTTTGACAGCTACAGTGTGCCAGGCTTAGTGCTAAGCGCATCACACGTGTTTCCTGTCCCTCACACCCTATGGGGGAGGTCTTATCTCCCTCTTTGTGGAAAGGAGGAAGCTGAGGCTGAGAAAACAGAGTCCCCAGGTTATCAACGTCAGTAGTTGACATCATTCCAGAGCATATGATCTTCCTACTGTGCCATTCTCTTCCTTTCTTGAAAGAGAAACAAAGAATAGAGAAGCGCAGATCTTGACTTTTGCAAAGAGTAGGTTTTATACAATTGACTGCCACACACTTTCAGGCCAGTGCGGCAGGAAGATTTATAGGAGATATATTAAAATAAAAATAAAAATAAAGACTTTTAGATCTCTGTTGCATGTTTTAGAATTTCTGATCTTATTAACTATAATCTCCTTGTCATAAAGTTAGGCAGTGCATCATTTAATAGAATGCACTTTCACAGGCATCAAGGACACAGGATTGAAGAAAAGCATCAGAAATCTCAAGGAGCTCTCTTTTGAGCAGTATCAGTAATGCCTGAAGGAAGGCTGTGAACTTTGTCCAGTTAACCCTTTACCTGGCACATGGTTAGTGTAATTTGTTTAGGGCTCTCCACAAATATCCCCACCCCTGGGGGTGATATATGGAAGTAGGAGTGGTTTGAACAGATCACATTGTAAAAAGGTGTGGGAGATCCCCGGCCAGGCATGCTCCCAGGAACGAGGGCCACCATCTTCCTTCCTCCTCCAATGCAGTACTCAGAATGGAGCAGGAGCCTGACCTAAGAAGGCCTGGCCCAACCATTCCCAGGCCTGGGCAAGAGCTCTCTCTAGTGTCCCCTTCTGTCCCTCACCCACACATGCTGAGATCTGAGACTCACACTTGGGTATGGGAAAATACACAGCAGGCATTATAGCCTCTCTGATTTTCAGGGCTTAAATTTAGCTTAGGTAAAGGAGTTTTCTCTCTCTCTTTTTTTTTTTTTTGCTTGAGGAAGATCAGCCCTGAGGTAACATTTATGCCAATATTCCTTTACTCTGTATGTGGGATGCCTCCACAGCATAGCTGACGAGTGGAGTATGTCTGCTCCCGGGATCCGAACCCACAAACCCAGGCTGCAGAAGCAGAGCATGTGGAATTTTAACCACTTGGCCATAGTGCCAGCCCCAGGAGTTTTCCAAGAGATCCAGCTCACCTCACTAGCATTCTGCACAGCTAAGAATGAAGTGTTACTTTGCTCTACTTTACTCTCTGTACATGCACTTCCCTGGGAGACCTTACATGGACCTCGATGTGCCACAATGGGAAAACGCCTTACTGAGCACTTACTCTGTGCCAGGCGTCGTGCTAAGCACTTAACACAGATTACCCCATTTGACTCTGTCGACCCTAGGAGGTAGTTTTAATTTTATGAATAAGGAAACAAAGGCTTAGAGAGGCTAAGGAATCTTGTCAAGGGTTATAGAATACATAGAACTCATTTAGAAGGCCATACTCTATAACAATACTACTTTAATCTTACTCTGTATATTCCAATATGGGCACTTCATATACCAAAGGGAGCTATATGCTCAGCCCAACCTTGAAAATTACAAAAGTACAAGCTCACTTGTCACTCCTATTTAGTGTTTAAAAACATATCCAAAAAGAAAAGGATGATACACATTCTCTGTGATAACATTACTTTTTTTCCCTTTCAACATTATTTTATCAGAATGAGGAAAACCTTACTAAAAAGAACAGGATCTTAATCTTTTAAAAACTGTGATACAACCATTAAAAAAAATCACTTTTCTGGATTCAAATATCCTGAGCCCCATGATGTTCCAGCTACCGTGCTAATCCGCCTACCGGGCAGTGCTTGTTGGACCCACTGCACGTCCAAAGTTCATTTCCACCCAGGCCCAACTGTCCTTCCAAGTTCCTCATCTCACCAGCACCTGTTCACTCCCCCAAATCCAGACCCGGCCTCTGCTTTCTCCCCGATGGCCCATATCGCCCAGTCTTGGAGTCACATCTTGCCCGTCTCTCTCTCTACCAGCACTTCCTGAAGTCGGACCCTCTCACCAGCACCTGGACTATTACCAGTCCGTTTCCTAACTGCTCTCCTGCCTGCTCTTTGACCTCCATCCATTGTTTCCACCTTCCACCTGGCGGCCACGTGCTCACTCGAGAATCCCATGAACGACCTCAGGCAGGCTGGAGTTTCAGCCTCTTGGACCCTCAGTTTCCTTGTCTGCAGGCAGGCATAACACCCATCTGCTGGGAAAACGCAACTTCCTAACGCACACGGAGCACTGAGCAGAGTAAGTGCAGTCAGTGAAAGTGAGTTGACTTACCCTTAAAGTCTGTTCTTACTGTTTCTTCTGGGCACGTTGGAGGAGAACACAATACTCTCTAGAACCCCAAAAGCTTCTTCCCTACTTTCTGCCCAGAGAGTGAAGGTTGGAAGAAAGAGAACTTTCTGTGCCTTTTTCTGCCCTTCCATCCACTCAGACTCTTGAGTCATCTCAACCAGGATGAAGTTAAAATCCTCACAGTATGATGGTCCCGAGGATTAGAAGGGTAGAGGGGGATGGGGGAGGGCTCACCAGGGAATTATCAGAACTTCTAGGTGTTGGACAAAAACCTACAAAGGATGGATGCAGGGGCTATTCCTTTTAATCCTGCCCCCAGAAATGCAGCATACTACTAAACGAGAAACAAAATAAACATTACCTGTTAAAAACAGGTTAAGACGGGGTTGAAGGTGCTCCTTTGTGATTTTAGTCACCAAAATGCTACAATATTCTAAAATACTAGTAAGTATAAAGTAAACTGTTTTTTTACGTAACAAAATATATATACACTTCAAAATAATGACAATATAGAGAAGAATTCTGCATTTTATTGCACTCAAGTAACATTAAACAGAAGACATTTAACATTATTTCTAGAAAATCCATTGATGTTGCCCAGTTTGGCATGTATTTGTAAAGACAAGGCTCATTAAATCAGATATTTGGAATTAAAAAGTGTTTGAAGTTGACCACAGCATCCTGAATCCTCAATTTCTAGAGTTCTAGAGATGATTATATACAAAAATCCAGCAAAATCTACTTTACTCATTTATCAGTTCTATGTCACTCCTAAGTTTCCCTAAAAAAATATGGCTTTATAAAAAGTAGTGTTCTGTAATTCACAATATTAAGAGGTGTATTAGAATCTGAGTAGCAACTCTGTATCACCCATATCACAGCTTTAGAAAATTATTGCTTTTCTTACTAACTTCTTATTTTGGTTTCACTACACATTGAGTCAGCATGCATAATTCACTACATTGTATCTATGATCTATGATGATAAAAATATAAAATCTCTTTGTTTTTAACCCTAAAAGCAGGAAAGACATCACTTTATCTTGAAACAACGTTAACATAATCAAGAGCTACCCCTGATGCATAAATGAAACCACTTCTTATGGCTTTTTTACAGCTCATGGTCCTTTCAAAATATCGTAGCTACCTTCTTTTCTAACAAATGAATATTTCCATCACAGCAACTATTTCTGAGCCACAAATAAGCCACATTAAAAATAGAAGAAACTCTTCAGTGTCGAAAGAAAACGGCTCATGTGTTGTGAAACAGCAGCAGGCATCTTGCTCTGTGAGCGCATCACACATCCTCAATCAACTCGGCCAGAAGCGTTACCGCCTTCACTCAGTAAGAGCTCTGTGCAGCCTTTAGCATAGTGAGGGCATGACTTAATCAGCCAAAGGCAGAACAATCTTTAAGTTATGCACCAGCAATTGATATAGATTTTCTAAAATTGAACCAAATGCCGAGTGGACTACAGCTATCATTTGATCGATCTGAGGC